CGTTGCCGTAGGTGCCCAAAATGGTTGCGAAATGTGTTTCTTTACGACTTCTCATCGAAGTGGGTGGTGACGTTCTCCGTCGACCCCCTTATGGGGGTTGCTAATACGCAGACAATATTTATGCATTTTTTTTTGGTATGCTTATCGCTGTAAACGTTATCGTGTCGAACACAGAATTTTTTCCCAAAAATATACTCTGGTCGGACAGTATTAACACTTAAACCCGCGTAAAAGGGTTGTTTATTAAAAACAAATTATTTTTCGCTATAATAGTGATAATATGTTTGCTTGCGTACCACGTGACCATTGTGGTGGTCATTTTTTACCTGCTTTGTGCGATTGGCGAGCGAATTATTCGCAGATTGGGCGAGATTGGGCGACACTGTGAACGTCGTTCAAACGTAATATTGAGGCACGTGCGGTCCGTATCGTTGCCGTAGGATGCAAAATGGTTGCGTAATGTGTTTCTTTACGACTTCTCATCGAAGTGGGTGGTTACGTTCTCCGTCGACACCCTTATGGGGGTTGCTAATACGCAGACAATATTTATGCATATTTTTTGGTATGCTTATCGATGTAAACGTTATCGTGTCGAACACAGAATTTTTGCCCAAAAATGTACTCCGGTCGGATAGTATTAACACTTAAACCCGCGTAAAAGGGTTGTTTTTTAAAAAAGGTTTATTGTTCGCTATAATGGTGATAATATGTTTGCTTGCGTACCACGTGACCATTGTGATGGTCATTTTTTACCTTCTTTGTGCGATTGGCGTGCGAATTATTCGCAGATTGGATTTGATTGGGCGCCCCCAATTTGGGATTGGATTTGATTGGGCCAGATTGGGCGACACTGTGACCGTCGTTTAAACGTGAAATTGAGGCACCTACGGTCCGTATCGTTGCCGTAGGATGCAAAATGGTTGCGTAATGTGTTTCTTTACGACTTCTCATCGAAGTGGGTGGTTACGTTCTCCGTCGACCCCCTTATGGGGGTTGCTAATACGCAGACAATATTTATGCATTTTTTTGAGTATGCTTATCGTCATAAATCCTATCGTGTCGAACACAGAATTTTTTCCCAAAAATATACTCCTGTCGGATAATATTAACACTCAAACCCGCGTAAAAGGGTTGTTTATTAAAAACAAATTATTTTTCGCTATAATAGTGATAATATGTTTGCTTGCGTACCACGTGACCATTGTGGTGGTCATTTTTTACCTTCTTTGTGCGATTGGCGTGCGAATTATTCGCAGATTGGGTTTGATTGGGCGCCCCCAATTTGGGATTGGAGTTGATTGGGCCAGATTGGGCGACACTGTGACCGTCGTTTAAACGTGAAATTGAGGCACCTACGGTCCGTATCGTTGCCGTAGGATGCAAAATGGTTGCGTAATGTGTTTCTTTACGACTTCTCATCGAAGTGGGTGGTTACGTTCCCCGTCGACCCCCCTATGGGGGTTGCTAATACGCAGAACATATTTATGCAATTTTTTTGAATATGCATATAGATGTATATTCTTGTGATCGATTCAGAATTCTTTCGAGCCTTGTTCTCGGGTAATAAAATGTTAACAACTTATTCTATTCGTGAAGGGGGTGCTTTTTTCAAATAATTGTATTTTTCGTTATAATCGTTTCAATAAGCGTTTTATTTCCATAATAAATAGTTATCTTTTACGGCATTTTATTGTAAATGATAACTCAAAGCCATTTTGGGAATCTAAACGAAAGCAACAAAATTATTTATATTAGGGACATCAATGTTAGTGATAAAATAAAATAAAATGTTCCATTTGCACGTTCTAGCACACTCCAAACCTAAATTGTATTTATTACATCACATTTTGCTTTTTAGATGTTTTTATTGGTAATACACAATTATTTCCAATTTTCACAATCAAATCCAATCAAATCCAATCAAAGCCCTTAATTGTGTTTGCCCAATCAAATCCAATATAAGTTCAAATTGAATCCCAATTAACCCAATCAAACACAATCTGGTCCAATCTAACTTAGATTGGGTTATATTGGATTTGATTGGGCATTTTTAACAGGGTGGCATTACACAAATTAAAAACAGCGCCAAATGTATGTGCGGAAACGTGTCTTTATTACACAAAACCAGAGTATTTAATGCTGTTTCTGGTAACTTTTCAACATTCTGCCACTTGTTACACCACAAGTCTAATTCAGCTTCCAAAACACTTGCAATGAATTCTTCACTTTCAGTTACAAAATTTGTTAAATATTTTGATAAATTAATTTTTATACTTTTGCGTTCGGCTTTACTTGTCTGAAGAAAAGCTGAAGGCAGCAAACTATTTATTTCAAAAACTGAAAAAATATCAGCATTAAAACGAAAATCTAAATCTTGTATAACGTTATCTAGTAGAGGAATAAAAATACTGATTTTGTAGTAATCTTTAGGGCTGGAATGTTGTACATTGAAACGGTGTGTTTGTCTAGCATTAATACGAGGAATTACTAAAGGAATGTTTAGTTTCTCATGGATTTCTTCTACTTCACTGAAAATGTCCTCAAAACAAGAATCTGCATTGTCCCTTTTGTTGTTTAAAACGGCTGTAATCTCTTCGACTAATGACTTTGCAAAATTTTTATCTACTGATTTTTTTTGTAATAGCTTACTTAAATTGATTGTTAAACCAAGAAAATACGACAAGCAAAAAAGAGACATAATAAAATTGGTCGTAAGGAGCGAATATGTTAATCTTTGAGCTTTCGACGAAGAATCATTGTCTTTCCATTGTGATATCAGCTCTAACGCGTCAATTATGTATTCAAAAGAAAGCTTAAAGTTTAAGACAGATTGGTGTCGTGCTGTCCATCTTGTTTCACATAAACTAATTAACTGACTATTATTCATAGACTTGAAAACATTAAGTCTTTTGGGAGAAGCTTTAAAAAAACTAATTGTCTCTTTCATTGTTCCTACAGTATTCCTTATATCTTGAATATTGCTACTTTTTGATATAGAAATATTTAAAGAATGACTATAGCAAGGACATTTAATTGCATTTTTCATTGTTTTTTGTATCTCCGAAACAGCACCTTTTTGATCAGATAACATTACAGAACATGTATCGGTACCAATTCCTATGCAATTTTCCATTGGCAAACCGATTTTTTTAATGAAATTAACAACAGTTTGCCCTAATATTTGTCCTGTAAGAACAGGTTCATGTGTAAAATCGTCATAATTTTCCTTATGACAATCAAGAAAACCAATAAAATCTTCTTTAATATTATTAGCATCATCTAAATAACGCAGTACAATAGACATTTGTGAAGTAGTACTGATGTCGGTAGTTTCGTCAAAAATTATACTGTAAAATTTACTTTTCTTTGCGCTTTCAACAATGCCGCTAAGAATTTCATCTCCACAACAAGTGATTATTTCATTTTGAATTGATGGGCTAATATACTTAGTCCGAGCTGAAGCAGATGCAAAGTGATGTTTTAGCTTTAAGTCATCTCCGCAAGTTTCAATTCTATACCTGATAAGCTCTCTAAGATTCCCTTCATTAATGCTTGAAGATTCTATTAGTTCCGCTTCGGTACGATGACCACGTAAAGCAATATTTTGTTTTCCCAAATATGTCACAGAATTTATTATAGCTTTGATTTTTTCCCTGTTTTCTTTTAATTGTTCAAGATGTTGTTTATCTAAAATATTTACTATTTCCATTTCAGGATGTTCGTATGTGCGAATGAAATTTAAAGCGTAAACCATTGCTTCTTTGTGATAATTACTTTTGTCGTGCGTTATTAAGTCACCACATTTTCCAAAAAGTTTGGAATATTTTTGAAGAGGCTTCACGACAAATTTATTAAGAGGCGTATTTTTGTGTACACCACCATGTTTAGCAAATAAAATGCAAAATTTACAAAAAACACCTTTCAAATTTCGAGAATATGTTAACCAGTTAAAAGAATTGAAATGTTTTACTGACAAAAAACACTTAATCTCTTTGTCGTTTTTATAATGAATTGAAAATGGAAAATTAAAGTCTCTATCGGGAACAAATGCATTTTTTAAAATATTGTATTTTTCTAGATCACCGATTTCTTGATTGACGTAAGTTCCCACATCCACCTCTCCTAGAAATTTACCAGAACTTGTTGGTTGTTCTTCAGAAGACAATGTTTCCAAGGTTTCCTCTTGCATAATATTTTCAGTTTTTGCAGTACTTGTTCCTGGTTTCACCAAAAGGTTGTCGATATCCTCTAGCTTAGCTTTTTTATTCACGAAAAAATCCAATGTCTTCTGACTGGCCCGTTTACTCATGATGCTGTTGATACATTTTTTATAAATTTAAATAAATAGAATCTGATTTTAAATTGCTTACCTCTTTTTTCGGTTATAATAAAAAGGAGAACCACAACAACAAAAAAACTTGCAATAAATTCAGTCACTACAACGCTCGTAAAAGTTTTTACTTGCACATAAGACACTAGTCAAATCAACAGCAACGAGAACTAAATGAATTTTAAAATGCTGCAGGCTGCAGAGACGTTTGCAAAATGTCATTCTAGTGGGAGAAATATAGAATTTCGTGGAAATATTGGGACGACAAGAGGTGTTTATCTGTTTCGTTTTTGTACCAATAGGTTTTTACACCAGATGACTTGAAACAATAACAACGCATTTCCGGCGTAGCAGGTCAAGTTTGACCGCATCTGGCAAAAATGCAAGTGCATGAAATCGTAGCCCCTCGGAAAGCTACAGTTTCCTTGCATCTGGCTGTATCTGCAGCCAAACTTTAATTTTTAAATTTAAAAATATGAAATTTTTGTTCTTGGGGGGGGTAATTACCCCCATTACCCCTCCCTTATCTACGCCCTTGTCCTTGACTTGTTTACGGATTTTATTTATTATTATTCTGTTAAGAATTATTGTTGATTAAATGAAATCTTAGGCATTTTTTTTTAAATTTGGAAAAATTTGGAGTTTATTGTATCAGCTGATGGTAACTTACGTTCATGTTTCTCACTGTTAGCAAAGCACCGAAATAAGTCAAATAGAGCTTATCACTTGAGATGATTGTTGTACTGTAATAAATCCAACACGTGATTTGATACTACAAAAACAAGGAAATCTACATTAGTTTTATAACGATTTTTGAAAAAGACTTAGTTTCATGGGAAAATATTGTTTATAAATTGTGACTGTTAAACTTCAAAATACATCGCCCTAATATCACAAATCACGCATTCGTATTTTGCCCAAATGCCCAACCCATAATATTATACATATAGCAGTCATTGCCGTATATATGTTCAAAGTTCAAAGATTCAAATGACGTTTTTTTTTTCTGCGATGTAGGCAACCAAATAAACACATATTTCGATAATTTCTGCAAAAAAGGACTTTTATAGCTATAAAATTACAACACAGAGGTCAATATCTTTGAAAGCACATTTGCTTAAAAATTCAATGTCGTTTTCGTAAGCAGGAGATGTTTTTAGGGGGCTCAATGGACAATTTTCGAGGAACGTCGCAGAGACCCAATGTAAAGTTTCACGTTCGGAAAATTTATTACGTAATCAGATGGCTTTAGTCTAAAATTAATTAAAAATAAAATATCACGAGTTCACTGTTCGCCTAAATGTTTTAATTTTGAATACATTATAATTTATAATTATTTGTCGTTGATTCAAATAAGTTTTGTGGTGAAATTTTATCGTATTTGAATAATTAGAATTTGAAAAAAAAAAATCAAGAAAATCGTCTGCCTAGGAAATTTCTGGGCAGTATCTGGTGAAAGGGTTGGTAGAAGTTCACTTGTTTGCTAGAGGGCTGAGATACGTCACTGTTATTTGTTTGGTGTGAGTGAGGGCACGCAGTAAGGTAGCTAGATTAAGTTTAGTTGGTTTGGTAGTTAAAAAAAGGGGAAAGCTACGAAAATTAATCGTACCGATTGACTACGCCACAGTTTTCCCAGCGTAGCTAATTCTTCGACCGACGCCAACACGTGGTGTAAACTTGATTTATTGTTTGTAAATTCACAGTTCATGTTAGGATTTTAATCGTTACTAGTTCTAATACAATGTAACAGTCATGAGATTGTTCAAATAAAGCACTTGCTAGAAGATTTCATGAGATTTACTTACTTAGGACTCATCCTTTGTTTATCAAGTTATAAATAAGGTTTTTGGATGCTTATACTTAAGTGTTACATAATAATACTTCTTAATTCCTCATACAAGATTGCTAATACTTCATTTACCGTAGTTAATTAACCCTCTGGGAAAAGAACCGTGGAAAATGAGGTAGAATTCATAATATCATGGACTGAAGGACGTGGGGATTAATTTTTGTTCTTCTTAAGCAGTTATCATCTGCATCGCGACGAGGGATGCATTTTGTGTTTATTATGTGTTTGTTTGGGATAAGCTGGGGTCAGTCCATGATATAAACCCTCAAAGCTAAAGGTTTTTAAGTAACCAGTTACTCGGATTAAGACATAAATTAACATAATAATAATAATATTAATAATACTAATATTAATAAAAATTCATAACACTAAATTTTTAAACAACGAAAAACTATTCTATCAACATTTAACTAATTCAAGCAAAACTCAATTATCCGGTGAACTACCAACTTCACAAGATGTAACAACATTTTGGTCAAAACTTTGGTCTCAAGAATTTGAATTTAACCAATCTGCCAAATGGATTCCTCATATATATAATAAACTATCCACAGTTACACCAATGAATGATCATCAGATAACACTTGCCGAATTAATAAAGACCATCAATAAGACACACAACTGGAAATCACCAGGACCAGACAAAATCCATAATTTTTGGATACAAAAATTAAATTGTGTACATATTCATTTACTACATCACTTAAATCAGTTCCTTCTTGACCCATCCTCTTTTCCAACATTCTTATGTCATGGTGTAACATACTTAAAACCTAAAGATAACGACACAAAAAATCCATCAAAATACAGACCTATCACATGTTTACCGACAATATATAAAATATTAACCTCATGCATTACACAAAAAATATATCAACACTGTTTTAACTCTGACATCATTAATGAAGAACAGAAAGGATGTATTAAAGGATCCTTTGGCTGCAAAGAGCAATTAATCATAGATTCCATCATCTGTGAACAAGCTAGAAAAGAAAACCGAAACATATATACTGCTTTTATTGATTATAAGAAAGCTTACGATTCTGTCCCTCATTCCTGGCTATGCAAAATTCTGGAATTATACAAGATTGATACTAAAATCTGCACTTTTCTCAAGTGTTCCATGGAATTTTGGAAGACCACCCTCCAAATAACCTTAAATGAACAAACAATTCAGTCAGACCCAATAATGATCCGAAGAGGAATTTTTCAAGGCGATTCTCTTAGCCCGTTATGGTTCTGCTTAGCAATAAATCCCCTCTCCGATATCCTGAACAGCTGCAATTATGGGTTCAATATAAGAATTAACAAACAAAGAGAAAACAGAATAAGTCACTTGCTGTACATGGATGACATAAAAATATATGCAAGTACACGAAATCAGTTAACAAACCTATTAAATCTGACTGAACAATTTTCCGGTGATATTGGTATGTCCTTTGGTATTGAGAAATGTAAGACCCAAGCAATCAGAAAAGGCGTGTTTCACCAAGTACCACATATAACACAGAATAAGGAAATAATTGAAGCCCAAGAACGAAACGATACATACAAATATCTGGGTTTCTGTCAATCCTCCCACATCAATCATACCAAAACGAAAACACAGTTGAAAGATCAATACGTAGCGAGATTAAAATTAATATTGAAGACACAGTTAAATGAAAAAATTTAATGAAAGCAGTAAATACATTCTGCGTTCCACTGCTAACATATTCTTTTGGAGTCATTAAATGGTCCAAAACTGATCTTGAAAATTTAAACATCGCAACAAGGAAAATCTTCACACAGTATAGAAGACATCACCCAAAATCGTCGATTGAAAGATTCTCATTACCAAGACAGAATGGAGGAAGGGGTTTCCAGAACTTAGAAAACTTATATCAGAGACAAATCTCAGATTTGAAGAAGTATTTCTTGAAACGAGCGGAAAGAAATGAAATGTTTCGCACCATCACAAGAGCAGATTTGAACCACACACCCTTAAATCTGTCGAACACCGAAGAAATCCACACCCCCCACACAATAGATAAAATAATAAGTGGGCTAAAACAAAAACAACTACATGGAAAATTCTACAAAGACTTAGAAGAAAATCATGTCAATAAGAAGATGTCATTGATTTGGTTAAAAAAATCAAGTTTGTATGCCGAAACAGAAGGATTTGTGTTTGCTATTCAAGACCAAGTAATCAATACCAAGAATTATAGAAAATACATCATCAAAGATCCGAACATAAAAAACGACTGCTGTCGCCTATGCAAAGCAAAACCTGAAACGATCCAGCACATAATCTCTTCTTGCAGCATCCTAGCACAAACTGATTACAAAGCTAGACACGACAACACAGCCAAAATCATTCACAAAGAATTAGCAACACTTATGAACTTAATCGAAGATACGACACCCTATTACACTTACATTCCGTCCCATTCCTTGAAAATAACAAATACAAATTATACTGGGATCGCACAATACTTACAGACTTAAACATTACAGCTAACAGACCAGACATAATACTTATCAAAAAACACACGAACGAAGCCATTCTCATTGACATTGCTATTCCTAACACAAACAACATTATTCAAACATACGACACCAAGATTTCAAAATATCTACAATTATCGATAGAAATGAAATCCATGTTGAATCTTAAAAAAATTTCAATTCTACCCCTAGTTATCTCTAATGTAGGTGTAGTTCCAAATAGCTTAGTTGAGAATTTAAAGTCTTTGCATTTGAATGATTCAATAATTGTCAAAATTCAAAAAGCTGTTTTGTTAGGAACATGTCATATTGTTCGTAAGTTTCTTGAACAGTCTGATCATGTCAGTCAGATTAGATTAGCACCAGTAGGTCAGAGTAGTGTAGGTCACTTTTCATGTGATGCGCGGATAAATGGTCGGTAGTTACGCTGGACTTTTGGGGATGGGGTGAGATTAGAGAATAATAGCAGACTAATTTGTATGCTGTAATTCTAGAATCTCGAAAGTTGTTCTGTTAATCTAATCAATGCATATCATTACTTGGTCTTAGTACCCGTAATGATAGAAGTCTTGCCTGAATGCCGGTCATTTCCGGGTCAGTGGTGGGTCTTAATAATATTAACAACCTTTATTGCCCAACATCATGTAAATTCTTTGTTTGAATCGTTGATAATTAACACTTGTTCAGTTGTAGTTTAATATCAGAGTCATAGAAATTGAACATTTAAATGGAACTGAGGTAAATAACACAGAAACACGTGACGGAAGCGGAGTGCGCGGTTCCTTGTCGAGCTTGCGGCCGCCACACATTCATAATAACTTGTGTATTTGCATCCAGTTACTTTACTACAGATTTTTCTTTGTTTTTATTACATTTGTGATATTCAAATATTTGCATTGATTCAGAACGTTTAATTTGATTTCATTCCAAGTAAGGCAAGTTTTTTTTGTAGCTGAGAACTAAGAGGTCTTCAACCTATGCAACTTAGTCGCAGCTTTTTTTTGTTATTAGAGGAATAAATGATTTTGGGTCCTCCATATATTTTGTGTTTTATTTAGCGGTAGTTTCCCAACCTTGGGGTCCACCATTTGCATTTGAACGCATTCCACAAAAAAAAAAAAACAAACAATGTAGGGTTTGTTTGTTATTTTTTTTAGACGATCACAGCCAAGGCCAAATTTTTGAAATTTCGCGGGGTTTTCATTTTTTTTCAACAAATAATTTATGTTTTGAATAATTTCTCGTCTGCTTTAGTGATAATATCTGTAGACTCAGACGCTGTAATCTCACACTAATTAAATTAAATAAGCTTACGATAATTCTTCGTAACAACTGTCTAAGAATTAACTTTAAATTCTTTAGTAAACAATAGTACTTACATAATTATATGTAATCTAATGTTAATGTTTACTAAAGAACTAAGCTATATAGCAAGTAAAAAATAAAACAATGGGATAAACGTCTTTTAGTAAGTCATAAATTATAATTAAGCTGGAATAATCAATACATTGTGAGAAAAAAAAGCAACGCCGCGAAACATAGGCAACCATGTGTAATTTCAGTTAGGGTGATAGCTCGTCTAGGGAATTAGTGAATATATATTTAAGTTGGTAGTTCACGAGCGGTTGGTAATGGTAATTAATTCATGGAAAGCAGACTCGTTTTGGTTTTAATGCGTCAGGTCAGTCGTTTATAGGATTTAGTCGAACAAAAAGTCAATATTTACTAAGAAATAAGTCTTTATTCTTTATTGAATTCACACAACAGGTAATGCTTTATTATTGTACTGATTCTATGCAACAGAATGATAGCAAAAATAAAATATGCCAGCGTTCTTTGGTAAGTCAACGATCATTACTGATATACTATTGGAGGGCACCATTTCAATTCAACAGTATCTTATAATCAAACCTATGGTTAGTCGTATGAGTAATCGGCGGGAAAGGCAACTGCTCAATCTCCCACTTATCCCCATCCTGCGCCAGCTGCAGCAACCCGCAATACGGCACCTTCTGAATAATCTTCATCATATCGTTCGCCACCCTCGGCTTCTTCCCGACCAGCTCCCTCGAACACACATCCAGAGTCGCGGCATGCCCCACCAGCAACACGTTCCCGCTAGGATTCGCGTTCAGCGCCCCCCTAGTAACGAACGTGCTGCGCAGATAAAACTGCTCGCAAGTCTCCTTGGACTCCTTCATCTCCGCCTCGGTGATGAACGGCTGGTAGTCCACGTCTATGTTGAACCCAGCCGCCACCAACTCCTCGGCGGTCATCCAATCGGGCAGACCGTCCGGGTACCACACCGACCACTCGAACAACCCCGGCTCGACTCTGATTTGCACCTCGTCGCGCTTATTGCACCCTTTGAGGAAGGCGTCGCAGGTCTGGATGCAGCGGAAGGAGGGCGAGCAATAAGCGTAAGTGATGTCGAGCTGGGACTCTCGGAGGGCTTCGCCCACGGTTCGGGCTTGGAAGACGCCCACTTTGGTAAGGGGGGTGTCCTTAGCGTAGGCGGCGGGGCCGGTGGTACGGTCCGGTAAAGTCTCCGGCATGTTTAAGTCTTTTCGGATGTATTTGCCGGTTTCGTCGAAGGAGTACGGGATCCAGACGCCGAAAGTGAAGTCGATGCGTTCGCCATGACGCATCAGGAAGAGCTTGCGTGATTTTTTGTCTTGAGTCTGGAAAGAAGGGGGCGGTTAGTGGAAATGGGCGCCGGGGAGGGGGAGTTACGGCGAGGGTGCGGAGTTTTCTGCAGACTGACAGGAGGATTGTTATTTTTGACATTGACAAGGAAATAAAATGGCGACTTGTATTAAAGTCGCAGAAACGACAAAGAAACGTCATTTTTTGTGAAGACGTCTGTGGTCAACTTACCTGAGGCCCGTTCCTGTAAACATTCTCGTACAGGATCTCATGCTTCGGCAGTGCCGGAAGAGTACAAGGTTCATCCCCATTGGTCGCATCAACCCCTTCTTTCCCAGCCGCTTTATCCTCCTCCATCTCAGTCTTTTTCTGCTGTCCTTGGGTGATATGATTCAGAGGTACCTTCTTGTGCAGCGTCCAGGCGTCCGACTCCGCCGTCCTTTCTGTGTAACTCTCCGGCAGAAGCCCCGTCAGTCCTGTAAGCCAAGAGGTGCCTTCGACCCACCCGTCTGGCGAATTCACCAGTGCCTCAGTGCTGATGTAAACGTAATCACCGGTGCGAAGGTCCAGTTCATCACACTCGGTGGGTAAATACGGATGGATTACCTACACGAAGGGACTTAGTTATGTTATAAGAGACAAAAAGGGGCTTACTTTGTGGACTTGTTTGCCGTTGACGCGTGGGTCGCGCGAATACAGTCTTAATTCCCAGCTGGAAGAGTCGGTCGGGTCCAGTTCATCCACCAGGGCCTTCAGGTGGGAGTAGTGGGTACCCGGGAACTGGTATGCCAATGTTAGATGAAGCGATTTTACGTGAGGTTCGAGACTAATGGCTGGAAAAGTGTATGTACAGGGTGAACAAGTTTGTGTTTGGCAGGATCATAAAGCTGGCATAATGCTAGAAAATTGACGTGAGGATGCTCCAACTATCCCGACGACGGCTTCAATTACTCCATCTTGGTGTATTATAAATTATGATCCTTCACAAGCACTTACAATTTGTGTCTGAATATTTTGTAGTTTTATGGTGTCATTTGAAAAAGTACTCCCACAGAATTACAACATGTAGATGGCGGATGAAAGTTTTTTTTTTATTTCTATCAGTACGATTGGACCGCAATTTTAAATTAAAGCAACCGCACCGTGGAAAAATTCACGGTATGGTAAAGAGGGATTTAGTGAACTTACGTGAAATCATGAGCATCTCAATCCACGGATAGTTTTGAGCGAAGAAGTCGCAGTTGTGCACTGCTGACAATAACATGTAACTATTAGATTGTTAGGCCATTTTTAAAGCGACTTTATAGCTGTCGTTTTTTAAAGCGAAATAAATCTGTAACTATCTACCGGCCGAAGATTGCTTACTGAAAATGTAAAAATCTATTTTGTGTAGGCAACAGAAAAATGCTTCCTTTTACATAATTATGTGGAAATTCGTCAGAAATGGGGGGGTTGAACGAATGGATTTTATGAGCTGCACGTAAGATAGTTATTTTAATTTGTTTCACGGAAAGTTCTATAAAAACTATCTTTATCAGAATAATAAATACGATAAAAATAGACACTATGATTAAATTCCCTGTTCAAGGGTATCTTGCTCGGAAAGTTCCTTTGTTTAAAATTGTTAACAGGCTTTCCAGTTCCAACTACTGTTTGTGCGTAATGTACATTTCTAATTACTTTTTCAAATTTTTTCCTATGTATTACCTGACAACTGTGAGACAGAAAAACTCGAAACTTATCGAACCGACACCTTAAACTATCCACATTATTTAGGATTAAAATTTTATTATCTTATAGCTGATATAAATGATACTAGCGTTATGGAAAATTGAAGGTGTAGCTTTAAAGTGGAAAATGCAAATGTCCTACGTATTTCCAACGTCATTAAGTTATTACACTATTTTCAAAAGGCGGCACAAATCATAGTGCAGTTCGCTTTTCGAGCCAGTGGCACGTTCAGATCTAAAAATCTGAAATTGTGAGAAAATAAAATATTTCTGGATAATATAAAGAGTACTAATATCGATTTAACTTACACAATTTCAATTTGAATTCAACGAAAATTCTTTTTATTTTATTGTAAGATTTCACATTAATAAGACTCAAAAACTAATTTTTACGTTCACATGACTGAAAACAAAACTTACGAGATATTTCAGTTTGAACAACCACAGATTACTACAGAGGCATTCACACACGAATAAAACAATCAAGTGCAAATATCCTCTGAAAGTGACTATATATAATAGGTTACGATTACGAAGGAATTTGTTAATATCGGAATAATTTCGAAGTAGTGTTTGTTTTTTAATGTAGATTGTACCAGTATCTTTGAACTGAATTTTTTTTAAGATTTTCCGTTCATTTCTTAGACAAGTAGATAAGTGACGCTGTCTAACATTTTGACTCTGAATTTAAGAACACCTGTATTTAAATATTGAAACTGAAACTTTACTACTGTGAAAATGAAACTTACAATAAATATTCTTGATGGGGTTTTAAAATTGGTACATTGCAAGTAAACATTAACGTGGAAAATTTATTAAAAATGATATAATTTTGTTTGAATAATGTTATCAATTCTATAAATCAGTTGAACAATGTCTATGTCCAATAGAGTCTATTTGGGTTTCCTAAATGATAAATTGTGGACTATAATTAACGTCTAATCTTAATACAATAAACACAAACCGGATTTTAGAAAGGTCTCTTTTTTTGTCCCCTAATCCAATTTGTAAGAATATTGGGAATTGCAGACTGTATTTTTTTAACAAAAAAGGTCATGTTTTTTAAACACTTACCTCCTGTTTATCATTAGACGAACATAAAGTCGACTTTCAAAAGCAAGTACTTTTTTTATTTGCGATTTAAATTTTGTTGTTTACAGATTATTTATTACTGAAGTTATCTGTAATTACCTTAATTCTCCCAATGTATGTGCATTTTCTATACCTGTCCTTGTAATTGCTTTTATATCAATATTTTGTTTGTGCCTTGTATTTGGACATTGAATTTTGATTAAACTAACAATAAAAAGGGGACGTTTTTTGCAAAATTTTCAAATCAGGTGCAGTTCGCAAATGCTAAGTAAACATAAAACGTTCCATCCCAAAATCAATATTCGTTTTTACAGAAAATAGAAATATTTCCCCATGCATAGATATTTTAGTTTGTCTGTAGTGACTGTAGAAAAAGAAACCCACTGATAGCAACTTCTCATTGGTGCATTGTGTATGCTACAACTAATATTTTAAAAAAGCACTTACAGGAAAAATATTTACATGCAAACAAAGTAGAGAAAAAGAGTGTTATTAACATAAATTTGTAGGGTTGCAAGTGTAGATTTATATTTTGTAATAAATAGAGAAATAACAAACAAAAATAACACAATAAATAATACAATAAATAAAGTACATAACAAAATAAGTTAGTTGATTAAAACTAGAGAGCACCAGTTTAAAATTAACAATGTACTAACACTACACTAAACTACAGTTTGCTTACATCTACTTCCCCGAGGAATGCAACGAGCAGTTGTAGTGGTACACCAGGGAAAACAGGCTGTTAGAGCATCGAAATGTTCATATGTGTCACTAATAACTGCAAATAACCACCACCTTTAGCCAGACCTTATTCAAGTATTCTCATGCTATTACTTAAACAAAAAAGCTATAAGTATTTTTATATAGAAATTTAGTTAAGAAAATCATGCAAAAACCCGTGGAATTAGTCTAAAATACCATAGTAAAGAGACATTTTACTAATATTCACCCCCTTTTGTAAGTAACAAAGTTATACTTACTAGCATTTGAGACCTCTTTAACATATTGCATAGCAATTCTCTTCAAATAATCAGCATGCTCCTCAGCTACAAAAAACCCCATAAAATTGGGAGATATATAAGTTTCCAGTTTCAAAGGCTCATTCAACATGGCTCCCTGTCTTTCCATAACAGCCTTTAAACTCTGAGCCAAATGAGGTGCATCCTCATCTGGAGCCTATAAAACCCCCATCACAACCTCCTCCTCAGCTAATCAATACTTACTTTAAAGAATGAAACTAAAGTAATATGTGGAGTGAAATTGTGGGCCCCATTCCACGCGCACTCCCTGTGCGACTTCTCCCAGTAATTCTGCAACTCTTCGAGAAAAGGCCCTGTAGGACAAGCATACAAAATATATTCCCTTGGAGAGTTATCATCAAGCAAGGGATCATTCACATGAGCCAATAACCAGTCTGAAGCCAGCTGCACTCCCCTGTTCCCAGTAGCAGCCAATGCTTTTTCACTGTAATTTTCCAAATTACCCACACACTACCCATTTTGTTCAACTTACGCTCTGTGTTTGGGAAATCCCATCTGTAGAAGTATTTGCAACGGACTCAAATGCTGCTTGGAGATTTTTGTAGGAGTCGGATTTCTTCGCGGCGGTAATGTTGCCATTTTCATTTAAATTCAAATCACGCTACAAAGTTTGGCGTCTTGTTGACACTTCTGCACCTTTGACATTTAAATGATGACGTTTTATAGTGATTTTCTGGGGGATTTGGGGCGCTGCTGTTGCCACTATTTGTCGACTGTCAAACTAGGCGGCTGCCGTCAAAAACTGTGGAAGTAGAAGTGAATGCTGTTTGGTTAATTTTGAACAATTTGTAGTTTATTCGACGATGGCAGGCGTCCTATTTGAAGATATATTCAACGTTAAAGATATAGATCCCGAGGGGAAGAAGTTCGACAGGGGTAAGCGTACTCATTTGTTGGTAATTCATTAATTTGTGCACCGGTCTTTTTTGAGGTTAGGTGAACAATGTTTTTAAAAATGTTAACTTTGTTGGAAAAAAGGGAAATTTGGGGTTCATACTCGAACAGTGGAATGCAGTTTGGTACAGCGTTGATTTGTTTTTGTAAAGAAAGTCAGTGGTGGTAAATGGTACACTTCGATGCTTGTACATTTAAGTCACAAACTAAGAAAAATGGTTTAGTTTAAAACAGCTAATAAATTGTGAGTCAAATATAGAATCTTTAAACTAGGTAAATGTTGAAAAATGTGTGTATCTACTTGAATTTACTAGTTGTCGAATAGATTTACAATGATGTTTGTGCACTCAGTAATCATGAAAAGAACGTGTTCCTCTGTGTTTGTTATAAATGGGTAACATATTATTGTATTCAATTAAACTATATGTGCTTTATCAGCACAAATTTTTGTTTGTCGTGCAACAATTTGCACTAGAATTTTAATTATTTCTATGAAATATTGCAACGTTTCAAATATTTTACTAGACATAGCAATATAAAATGACTCCACTCTTAGTCATTGCAGCTTTTAAGTTATACGTTTTGTAAAATTTCAATTATGCAATGACACGCACAAATGATTGCAGTCAAATGTAATTAAAAGGATATTTGTAGTATTTTACTTGGTATTAATGGCGTCAATTCAAAAATAAATGATTGAAGCAAATTTTTTTTTTGGCAATACTGAATTATTGGCATCCATGCTAGTTCGTCAGTTCACAGTTGTCAAACGTGTTGATTGGTTGACACCATAGCAGCTGTCATAAATGTGACTTTGACAATCAGGTATGATATTATAAAATTTGTTATAGGTTGCCAACCTGACAAAAAATCAAAAAATTAATAGTCGGTATTTATACGATACTTATATTTCCAAGAGCAACTTAACACATTAATAATGTTCAAAGATTTAAATTGATTTCATATTTTTTTGTTTTTATTGTCGTTTATTTTTATTTACTTTTTGGGGCGGCTTACGAATTTTCTTATTAACTTATGTCAGGATAATATGACGTAGATTGTAAAATGGCATTGAAAGTGTTGTTGCCGCTCCCACTTTTGATTTTTAAATAAACACAACCTGTGGAAGAATGTAAGCCTATTTTTTTTTTCAAGTGGAGCGACTTGTTACTACATAATAATATAATTGTTCCATACGTTTTTAAAACAGTTGATACATGAAACTGATTTTTTCGATCAGAAGATTTTCGAAACTACGAAATTGTTTATTTTCTTTACTGAAATGGGCTACAATAAAGACAGCTTGTGTCAAAGAAACCTATGTTTCTAGATTTTTGTAAGCTCAGAACAGTGGTGAAAATTGCGTTCCAAAATTTCCATAAATAATTGAGAAATTGATTTTTAAAAATACGTGAAGAAAAATTTCACCAAAATTAAAAAAAAACCATGGACTATTAAAAAAAAATCAAGTGCAGTCTAACATAGTATTAGGTCCTGTGTTAAAAAATCCACTAAAAATTTCTTCTAACTTTATAAACTGGGGTGGTATCCCCTCTACATTTTCCCCTATATCCTATATTGTTGCGCAATATTACATGTGTCCTTAAAATTGGTTTTTGTTTGTACCGATAACTTCACAAGGAAGCGGTTAGTTGCTTCTTAAACCAAATACGCTGAATTTTTTGTATTGAATGGTGATCTAAAAATTCGTGATAACACTACTTAAAAAAATTACCAATTTTTATATATTTTTTGTAATGCATTATCCCGGCCTATAATGTTTACAGAACAATGGCAACAGGAACGCCACTTTAGTAATGAAAACAGTTTGTTTTTGTACTCCCTACTAACGACCTTTCCGCCCACGCCGACTTCCTTCTCCACTTCTCTCCAAGTTCTAGATTTTTGCCACACCCCAACAGAAACACACAGAGAGAATAATAACAACCAGCGAGCATCCGTCAGCAAACACAAGCGTCACACCAAGACGCAGCTACTGGCTGCAGATAACGTCTTCAGACATCAATAGCGAAACGTCTTTACCTCCTTTGTTTTTCTTTTGTCGTTCGGTGACAAGAAATCCCGCTTTGCAAGTCTGCGTTTGATGTGTGGGTAAATATAGCGCAGGAGTTGAATGGAAGAGAACGGCGATTCCACAAAGGCAAAGTGTACTGGAAACATGTTAAAAGCGGACGTTTTCCCGTTTCGCTGAAAATCCGCTGTTGCAGGGCAGGGGTAACGGTGACCTAGACCCGGTAACCTTGACCGTCACCACAGATACAGCTGGATCGATCGCGTGTTTCTCGGCGATGCGCATGTGTTCCTCTCTCTCCTGCTGCTCCTGCTACTCCCGAAACCGCGACCTGCATCTCCCCGTTCCCGTTGAGACAGGGCCGGCGGAAGGAGGGGGGGCGAGGGAGTGCGAGTCGAACTCGACAAGACCAAAAAATTTTCGAATGTAGTGAAAGTTGTTTGGATTTAGTGGCGTATTGCGCGGAAATTTTCGCTGGAGGTTTTACGAGGGGATCTATACGGAGTAATTAAAGAAAACACGCACGCCGTGGAAATAGTTTTTTATTGTAATTGCGTTGTGCAGTCGTACAGTTACGGCTATAAAATCCGGGCACTGTTGCGACATTTTATGGCTTCCATGAATTTTGGTAAATCAGGCTTTTGCCTTGACATCTACCTATTTTACCTTTATTAATGACTTACCATTTCGACGGTGATTTGAAAGAAATGTTCACATTTACCTTCACTGAATTCATAATCTGTTCAGACGAAACTCGTGGCGGGACTTTTCCTTTCTTCTTTAGTGCGAATAATGGCTTTCATTTCGTTTGGTTTTTAGCACGAGTCCTTGGAATTTCCCAGACAACCCCCTTCCGATGCTGCCATTCAAGCTTTTCTGGGGTGGCTAAATAAGCGGGATGATTTGTGAATGATGTGGATAGATTTGGAGATCGAAACCTCGATTCTTTGTGCCCACATACCAGTTTAATCGGAATTTTCCATGCAGTTTAGTATTAATATTTATGATAAAAATGATGGGCGAATTTTAACGACTTAACTGTACGTTCATACCAAAGCTTACCTAATTAACCGAACAAAAAATGCCTTCTTCAAAGATTCAATTTAAAAAAGTTTCTGCGCACTTTAAGATTATCGTTAAAGGGGTAAAAGAAATTCTATTAAAACATTCAGAATGAGTTAGGTATTGTGGATCATTGATGAAAATTTATTCATTCGTCTCCGGAAAATTGATGACAATCTAAAAAAATGTATACAAAAACTTTTTGCAATTGGTTCTAGCAGATTTCTCCAAGACATAACTGAACACGATTTAAGTTTCCTTTTGTGAAACGATGACTACGTACATTAAGAGAAAAAAGGCAAAATATAATCCCCGCCCACCCGCCCTGTGTCAATTGTGATGATTTTTTTTAATCATCGAGAGCCAATGGAGCGGAACTTAATTGCAAAATCCTTATTGTTTCTCTACAAGAAATTAACATGTTTTTGAGTATCGTGCAATTCAAAAAATACAATGTATATTACGAAAAAATTAAAGCCAAAGATTAAGCCCTACCCATAGATTTCATTCGTTGGCACACCTAGAGGCGGAGACTATTTGCAAAATCCATATTTCCTTACAACAATTTACCATTTTAAACGTGCTTTAAGTTTCTAAGAATAAAAAATTTATCACAATTGATACGGGGTGGGTGGGCGGGGTTTATATTTTGCCTTTTCAACATCATATACATAGTATGCTTTGAACAACACGATACTCAAAAACATGTTTTTAATTTATTGTAAAGAAATAAGTATTTTGCAGTTAAGCTCCGCCTCCTTAGTTCTCAGCGAATAAAAAAAATCATCACATTTGAGATAGGGCGGGTGGGCGGGCTTACATTTTGCCTTTTTGTTTTAATATGTGTAGACTTCTTTCCACAACATGAAACTTAAAACATGTTTAACATGGAAAATTTGTACAAGGAAATATTTTTGCAATTAGGTTCCGCCCCATGTAGAAATGTACCATTTTAATCATGTTTTAAGTTTCTTCTCGTCGTAAACTGCGGGGCGGAGCTTAATTGCAAAATCCGTATTTTTTTACGAGAAATTACCATGTGAAAGAAGTTCTTGTACTCATTATGTTCAAAGAAAACTAAATGTATTAAAATAATAAAAAAGAAAGCCAAAAGATAAGTCTCCTATCTATCTTGATCTCAGTCGTGATGAATATTTCATTCGTTGTTAGATCGAGAGGCGGAGTTTAGTTGCAAGATCCATATTAGTTTACAAAAATTTACCATCTCAAACATGAAAGATGACTAGGTATATTAAGAAAGAAAGGTAAACTATAAGCCCCGCCCACCCGCCCTATCTCAATCATGATGAATTTTTTTATGCGTCGTAAGCTGCGGGGGCGAGCTTAATTGCAAAATCCGTATTTTTATGCGAGAAATTACCATGTGAAACAAGTACTTAAATAGTCATGTTGGTTAAAGAAAACTGAATGTATTAAGTAAAAATGAAAGCCAAAAGATAAGTCCCATCTATCTGTATTGTTCTCAGTCGTGATGAATTTTTCATTCGTTGTTAGATCGAGAGGCGGAGTTTAATCGGAAGATCCATATTAGTTTACAAAAATTTACCATTTCAAACATGTTTTAAGTTTCTTCTTGTGAAAAGATGACTACGTATATTAAGAAAAAAAGGTAAAATATAAGCCCCCCCCACCTGCCCTGTCTCAATCGTGATGAATTTTTTTATTCGTCGTAAGCTGCGGGGCGGAGCTTAATGCAAAATCCGTATTTTTCTGCGAGAAATTACCATGTGAAACAAGTTCTTAAATAATCATGTTGGTTAAAGAAAACTGAATGTATTAAGTAAAAAAGAAAGCCAAGAGATAAGTCCCACCCATTTGTATTGATCTCAGTTGTGATTAATTTTTCATTCGTTGTTCGATCGAGAGG